CCACAGCTGGCCAGGGCAGGCGGGAAGCTTGGCTTCCTCCATCACCCAGGCAACCAAGCCTCCTGCTTGCTCCACTCCGTGGCTGCTGGCTGCCATCTTGGTTGGGTTAATTTGCATATAGTCACTCTGATTGGCTGATGGGCATGACTTAGGGCATAGCAAAGGTATGGTCAATTAACATCTCTGTATTTTATTAGTGTAGATTAGCAAAGCTCAACTTGTACTTCAAATTGCTTACCATGGAATAACTCAAAAACTTAAACGAAATGGAGCTTAGAGTTTGTCAAGAAGTGCCTGGCTGGTGTGGCTCAGTGGTTGAGCATCAACCCAGGAGATCACAGCAGGGTACACGTGACCTTGCAGCCTTGATCCCCAGTGGGGGGCGTGCAGGAGGCAGCCGATCCATGATTCTCTCATCATTGATGTTTCTATCTCCCTCTCTCTGGCATCAATAAAAACATATTTAGCCCTCGCTGTTTTGGTCCAGTGGATAAAGCATCGGCCTGTGGACCAAAGGGTCCCAGGTTCGATTCCAGTCAAGGGCACATGGCTGGGTTTCGGGCTTGGTTCAACATGCAAGAGGCAGCCAATCAATGATCCCCTTTCATCATTGATGTTTCTCTCTCTCTCTTCCTCTCCCTTCCTCTCCCAAATAAATTTTAAAAAACATTTAAAAAAGAAGTCATAATTTCCCATACTTAAGCTTCTATACTGGGCCAGTCCTCATGAAAATCTTGAAAAACGGGCTGGGTCTATTTCACAAATAAAGAAAATGTCTTGGAGAGGGGAGAGAGGTGACTCTAATAACTGACGTGGTGGCCACAGCCTGGACGCAGGACTCTGGGTTCTAACCCACGGCCAGGCACCTCGGCCGCTGGGACACAGAGAAGGGTGTTTCATGGCGATTCGGGTCCGTCTCTGCAGTCGCTTGCACTAGTGATCACGCTCACGAGTTAAGCACTAGTGACAGCAGCTGGTGACCGATCAAGTGGACAGGGCTGCTTCCGGCCAGACCCGTGGTCGCCAAATTGCGGCTCACAAGCCACATGCAGCCTTTTGGCCCCTTGAGTGTGGCTCTTCCACAAAATACCATGTGCAGGCGCACAAGTGCGATTGAAACTTCATTGCCCATGTACACAAGTCGGTTTTTGGCCTGGGCGAGTCTATTTTGAAGAAGTACTGTTGATGCTTGGCTCTGTTGACTAATGAGTTTGCCGACCACTGACGCCAGACTCCTCAGCTCTGCATCCTGGTTCTAGCAGCAGCAGCTGCTCGTGGCTGGAAAATACTGAACCTCAGGGAACCGCACCTTAGGAGTCCGGTTTCAGGATGCAGCCAGCACTGACCTCTGCGACTTTCGGAAAGAAATTAAGATCCAGGTGGACAGATGTAAAATGCCTCGATTCCAAAACACAGTAGCCATTCTTTTAAAAAATATATTCTTATTGATTGCAGAGAGGAAGAGAGAATCATTGATCGGCTGCCTCCTGCACGCCCCCTACTGGGGATGGAGACCACAACCAGGGCACGTGCCCTTGACCGGAATTGAGCCCAGGACCCTTCAGTCTGCAGGCCGGCGCTCTATCCAGTGAGCCACACAGGCCAGGGATCTGGGTAAGCTCTTTAGTGAGCACCTGTGTTGTGTAGGTCATGTGCTTGGTGCTCTAATAAAAGCTCATCTCCACCATAACCGCCAGGTGGGATGGCATTGTTCCTGCCCTTCCCGGCTTCCTTGAGGCTCTGGACTTTCCTGAGGGTGTGCTGGCTGAGGAGTTTGAGACATTTGACGGACCCTGGTCACCTGGGTGAGGGGTAGATCCAGGTTTGCCTACCCACTGAGCCACACCTGCGAGGGCACGTCAGTTTGTAGCCACTTTAGGAGCATGAAGTGACTGTTACCCAGTTGCTTCCATTGAAGTACAGGACTGTCTGACTTGTAGCTGTTACTGAATTCTAGCTGAGCAGTGTGGTGATTAGCAACATTCTCTGTTAAGGAACATCCCTGATGGCTTGTTAGGTATCTTTTATTTTTACGTATTTTTATTGATTTCAGAGAGGTGGAGGGGGAGAGAGAAACATCAACGATGAGAGAGAATCATGGATCGGCTGCCTCCCGGTGGCCCCCCACTGGGGATGGAGCTGCAACCCCTGCATGTGCCCTTAACCAGAATCAAACCCAGGACCCAGCAGTGCCAAGGCCGACGCTTATCCACTGAGCCACGCCAGCCAGGGCTGTTAGGTACTTCATGTTTATGTTTATGTGCATGTTGGCATTCCTATGTCTGCTCTGATGTCGATGCCAATCTTCTGCTCACTCTTTAACTGGTTGTCTTATTAAATTGTGAGAGTTCTTTTTATATTCTGGACACAAGTCCCTTATTGTATATATGATTTATAAATACTTTTTCAGGAAAACAAATAGAAAAGATAAATATTTGAAAAATAACTAGTACAAAAACTGACAATAAAGAAAATCATAAAGACCAGTAACAAAGACAAAATTCCAAAAAGTTCCCTGACCTTGACCAATGCAAGTCCTAAATTGGAATAAAAAACACTAAGACTTTCAGAGCATATGAAAGGCAGCGAGTTCCTCAACACTGCTTATGGGGCGAGTGTTATTTTCATGTTCAAGCCTGACTGGACGAATACAGAGAAAAATAATTAGAGGTCATCTCCGCTCACAACTATAGATGGTATACTACCATAATAAGTAAGTCCATCTCAAACATAAAGGTTAATTTTAAAATCTTAAGCCTAACAAACAGCAGTTTATAGAAAATAGAACAAATACTAGTAAGACAAGACTGCAGGAGGGATTCAAGGGTCATACACCCGAGAGCTGTGGCCACGCCAGCACACCCACAGGAAAAGCGCCAGAACCCTGAGGAAGCCCAGGAAGCCCACGGGGTTCAATGATTGCCGATCGAGCCCCTAAAAAGGCATGGCTCACAGTTGAGCGTTGACCTACGAACCAAGAGCACATGTCCAGGTTGTGGGCTCCATCTCCAGTGGGGGGCGTGCAGGAGGCAGCCGATCAGTGATTCTCTCTCTCTCCTTCTCCCTTCCTCTCTGAAATCAATAAAATATATTTAAAAAGGGGGGGGGATAGGAGTGGAAGAGGAACGTTTCTTTCTCCTTTCCTTCTTCAAGCTTATTTTTTAAACTGACTTGATAATATATTTTAAAATTAGGTATTATACGAAAATGCTTCCTATCCCATTAAAAACAGAAACTGGACAGCAAATGCCTACACACCACTCTCATCTCACAAATTGCAAAGTGCTGACTAAAGTTATCCAAGGGAGGAATAGGCAAGGTGTGTACCATTATTTGCAGATGTTAACGATACCTAAAAAAAGGGGAAATATCTACCAATTCAAGCGTCTCAATCTGAAAATCATTAGAAGAGTTTAGAAATTTTTTTTAAAAAGCCAACTGCATTACTATGTCTCAAACACCATTTTAAAAAAATCAATAAAATCAGGGAAGTCCTTTTCCAATAACTAAAAAACATTTGAGAAGGTATTAAATCAATTTCTGCATTAGTTTTAATAAAATTATACAACCAGGGGACGGGGGTGGGCTAGAGGACATTAATGGGGGGGGGGACATATGTAATACTTGCAACAATAAAGATTTAAAAATCAAATAATAAAAAAATATACAACCAGTTTTAAAAAATGAGGAAAAGTCTCTGAAGAACACTTTATAGAAAGTGGGCACAATAACCTTTTAAAAAAATATTTTTTAGCCCTAGCTGGTTTGGCTCAGTGGATAGAGCGTCGGCCTGCAGACTCAAGGGGCCCAGGTTCGATTGTGGTCAAGGGCATGCCCCTTGGTTGCGGGCACATCCCCAGTAGGGGGTGTGCAGGAGGCAGCTGATCGATGTTTCTCTCTCATCGATGTTTTTAACCCTCTATCCCTCTCCCTTCCTCTCTGTAAAAAATTATAAAATATATTAAAACTAGGGGCCCGGTGCACAAAATTCGTGCACGGGGGGGAGGTGAGGGGGAGTGTTCCTCAGCCCAGCCTGCCCCCTCACACATACTGGGAGCCCTCAGGCATTGACCCCCATCAATCTCCAATCGCAGGATCGGCCCCTTGCCCAGGCCTGACGCCTCTGGCCCAGGCGTCAGGCCTGGGCAGGGGACCCCCAGCTCCCCGCGATCTCCCGCTCTGCCCCTGCCCAGGCCTAACGCCTCTGGCCGAGGCGTCCTGCCCGGGCAGCGGGGACCCGCAGCGGCAGCAGCCCTGCGATCATGGGCTCCGCTTTAGGCCCAGGCAAGGGACCCCTAGCTCCTGGGACTGCCAGCTTTGACCCTGCCCAGCTCCCATCGCTGGCTCCACCCCTACTTCCTGCTATCACTGGCCAGGGCGGCAAAGGCACCTGATTCTCCGATCATGGCTGGGGGGCAGGGCAAAGGCGGCCCTGGGGGCTCTTAGCGCCCCCCTGGGTTTCCGATCGCTGTCAGTGGCAGGGGGCTTCTTCCTGCTTTCCCTTTCGCCTCCCTGCATTGTGCCTACATATGCAGATAAACCGCTATTTTGTTGTCAGTTAACTGCCATCTGAGTTGGCAGTTAATTTGCATATCTCGCTGATTAGCCAATGAAAAGGGTATTGGTCGTACGCCAATTACCATTTTTGTCTTTTATTAGATAGGATATATATATATATGTATATATTTTTATTGATTTCAGATGGGAGAGGGAGAGAGGGAGACAGAGAAAGAAAAATCAATGATGAGAATCATTGATTGGCTGGCTTCTGTGCACCCCCTACTGGGGATCGAGCCCACAACCTGGACATGTGCCCTAGGCTGGAATCAAACCCGAGACCCTTCAGTCCACAGGCCAAATCTTCATCCACTGAGCCAAACCGGCCAGAGCGGGCACAATACCCTTTCAAAAAAGATTCTTGAGGCCCTGGCCAGGTAGTTCAGTTGGTTAGAACGTTGTTCCAATATACAAAGGCTGAGAGTTCGATCCCCAGTCAGGGCACAAACAAGAATCAACCAATGCATAGATAAGTGGAACAAGCAGCAGATGTTGCTCTCTCTAAAATTGATATAAAAAACTAAAGACTCCTGAGAGCACAGATACACTAACCTTTCAACACCTAGAAAGGTGAATGGTGCAGAGGCTCAATTTCAGAAACTTTACATGTAAATAAATCAGTACATTCTCTTCAGTCAGTACTGCCGGGCTATTCCATGATCAGCACGGAGACAAAGCACGAATCCCAAATGAGTCAACAGTGAAGGGACACTTAGAAGTTATTTTAAGCTAAAAAGGAACAGCCCTTCCCGGCAGTGAAGAAGGAAAAGACATTTCTGAACCCAGAGGAGCAAAGATGCCCTCAGAGACAAGACGGGAGCATTCCAAGGCCTCGCACTGGCACTGCTTCCAAACCACGCCTTCTCGCCCAAGCTCCGCTCCGGCAGCTCACACACCAGGCGAGGGACCACTGCTCTCCTGCCACGGCAGCCTGTGCGCTTCCTGCTACTCGAACTGGTTTAATGGCTCATCGCCTGTTCTCTCCGCCTGCTCCCCGTTCCCCACAGCACCTCCGCGTTCTCCACAGAACCAGGGGGAACCCGGGGGAGCCGAGCTGAACGGGGGGAGCCCTGCCCTTCCCAGGAGGGTGGGTCAGCCAGTGTGGCCTCCTCGGGCCTCACGCCTCCTAAGCTGCTTCTTCGCTGGGCTTAGGCAAAGGACCTTCACAAGACAAAGGTAGAAACTCTGAGATGCCCGCGGAGCCAGGATGTGGGGCGCCTGGGGCGCCCTCTATGGCAGCCAGGACGGCCTCTTCTGTCCCCGAGGATGCCCGCCATTGGTACAGCTCCTGCCAGCGCTCAGACCCACCCTGGCTCCAAAGCACCGCGGAAACGGCCGGGCTGACGTGTAAGGACCCCGGCTCCCAGCTCCATCTCGACAGGCAGGGTGCGGGTTCCTGACGTGTTTTCTGAACACGGGACAAGGGCACATGCCACGGTCCGCTCCTCCCTGGGCGCAGTCCAGCTGGGGACACGGCTGCGAAGGCGGAGATGCTTCACCCTCCGTGAGGAAACCGCCCGGGGGGCTCTGCCTGCCCCTCGGGTCACAGAACCGCAGGGGACAGTCCTTTGGCGAAAAAGGCCACGCTCTTGTCCTGGATCTTGTACTGGAACGTGAGGCTCCGGCCCCGCTGGGCGGGCGGCGACGGCGTCCTCCACAGGACCCTCAGCTGCGGACAGGAGA